CATTTTCCACTTCACTACTTTTTTACTTGATGTACTGATATGAGGTGTGGAGCATTAAGTTGTAATAGGTTAACAGAAAGAAGACTTCAGGCGCTTTGACCAAGACGTGATATCACACCATGAAGCCTCTGATTGTTAGTCTGAGCCATGTAGGGAGGTGTAGACTACCTGTTTGGCGTCCCTGAAACCGTAGGAATAACCACTTTGAAACATATGCTAACATTACTAAAAATCGATGACAGTGGCATACATTTATTTATTCTCTGACGTCTTCTAAAGCTTGAACATTTTCACTACCTGTGATTTTTCAAATTCCTTCTCCTCCCTTACACTTTTGCTTATTCTGATATCTCAGTATTTTTTGTACCAACTTATTATTGTTTTCGTGTTACTAAAATGTGTGACAACTTGAACCGATGCACTTTTATGCTGAGTTCTACGTTGATTTTGTCTCTCTGTCTATCTTATCTGTATAATCGAATTGATAGTCCTAAAAATCTATAAGGTCAACTGTAGAAGTAATCGGTTTCTGTTTCCATATAATTTACACCTAATCGATAGAAAGAAAGGGGTGAATCAACACTTATTTCGAAGATATTAGACTACCCTTAAAAAGTCGAAGCATGAAAAGTATTATGGCTTTAAGTACCAAAATGTTGAAGGTTTCATAAATACCTTAACATGAAGATTGGGGGAAAATAAACTACGCTTCAAATGTCATGCAATAAACATTGATGTATGTATGACTCTGAACGTTTTCTATATGTGTAGGTGTGAAACACTAAAAGTTGAGAATATTAGAAAACTTCGGGTATTTGACCACAGTTGCCTTCATAGCAAGGTGTCGTGGTGTAACCACGTGAGGAATAATATTCTCTTGAGAAGACGACTGTAAGCAGGGAAGCAAAGGCTAACTGGAGGCAGGTTTAAACTGCCTGTTCCATTCACCTTTCTAGTGTTTCGTGCATATGGACTACAGATCTATGCTTCATCACCATAGTGTCATCAAGCATAAACGACTTACTTTGATTTTCCTTAATCAGTGCGAATAATTGTTGTTTACAGGTAACTATCACCAAGACCATTCTCATCGTTTTAGCCTTCATGGTCTGGTCATAGAACAAACTGTTGATTTCATTTTAATTGTGTCTGCCCTTCATTGTGATCAGAGCCTATTGGCATGCGTTCGCGTGCATCCATTGTTTTGGAATAAGATTGATTGAGATTGACTAACCCTTTCTAATGCTTTTCTCAGGGTTAGTTACCACCTTCATCTCCGTTTTTACAGCCAACTGGAGTTGAAGACAGGTTTCTTCAGAATGAGTGACTTTGTCTTGTTTCGATTAGCGTCTAACCTGTTGCTGAATGAAAGCATGCTTAGTACTCTCATCATCAAGCTGTTTTGGAACTGGGTTTTCTACATCCATTTAGGTGCAGGAACTGACCTGCTCTAACCAACACATGTTCACTGTGTAAACCAGTGCTGTAGAAGGGGTGACAATCAATCCTGTGCCAATTCTGTTCAGTGATAATTAATAGACAGACAATTCCTGCCTGCCTCTATGTCTGAAGTCCATGCTGATGCAAAATAGGTGATTGATTGTCTGAGTATATTTATAGCAGGCAATTACCGTTATGTGTTTTTCTTCTGTTGAGACTCTGAAATTGTCACCTGGGTGCCTTTCTGCTTGACTTATTAGTCTACTAACTTCGGCATTGAAATCATTTACTGCAACAACCACATCTGAATGTTTGTTGCTTTCAATAGGAGACCGAACAGTTTTGAGTAAAACTCATTTTTCGTCACATTCGAACTGTAGTCACAGTGTGTAAGTTGGAAATACAAGGAGACGGGAAGTTTCGCTGCTCTTTTAACTTCTCACTGCATCGTCGAGTGGAACACAGAACAGGCAAGTGTTCTAGTCGTCAAGTAGTGCATTTTCAGCTGTAGGACTTAGTGCTTTACCTGCGAGACGACGAGAAGAAGCCGTCAAATGTGCAGATTGTAAAACGGTGACTTTTCACATTTGGCATGTTGGTTAAATTAAGTTAAATGGATATGGGTGTTACATAAACAAAGCAGTCATTCATGACCCGATTTTGTAGAGTTTTGACTGTTGGAGCTTGTCGTTCAATTCGACTGAGAGTGTAGACATTAAAAGCTGCAGTATGTTGTTCACAGTGCTGTTCCAAGGTACCAGGGATTATATTCTATTCCTTCAACTCAAATCGTCATTGAAGGTTGAAAATTTGAAGAAAATTAGCTACGACTATATAATATGGATAGAGAAATAAATATAAAGGAAAGTCAGTAGACAAAGATATGAAAGATTGATGATGATTTGAGATAGCTTGCGTGATAACATTGTTGTGGGGTTTACTTCATGTTAAGTAACAAATGAAATCGGTGGCTCGAAATTCTATGAAATATGGCATAGATTCATTTTCATGGTTATATACTACTTGCATTCTCATCGTTCTATCGAATTTTCATCTTTGTCTTACTCTCTTGTCGCCTCTTACAATTTTTGATCATATTCCCCTCCTTCTAATTTTTCTATCTTACATTATGTTGCCTTTTATTTTGGTATACGTTGTTCAAATATGGTAGGTAACTTGTTCCGATATGTTGTATTGTCTGCTTCAATTTATATATTCGACTGGCTGTTAGAAAAAGGCAATAATAAAATGTTTACATTTACATTAACACTAATACAAATACAAATAATAGTGACAACATAAGTAGGAAGGAAATCAACACCTCTATTGTGATACCATACAAGGAAGGAACATCAGAAAGCATACGTAGGATTCTCAACAAGGTTGGAATTAGGGTGGCATTTAAACCAACAAACTCACTCAGAGGTAAGCTCTGTCGGCTAAAAGATCCGATAGAACCAATTAAGCAAAATAATATAATCTACCAAATTCCATGTAATGACTGTGAAGTCAAATACATAGGTCAGTCAAACTAGCCGGTCGGGGTCAGTTAGATTAACAGAACATAGGAATTTAGCTAAACATAGAACGGCAGACCCCAATAAGATCAATAACGTAGAAAAACACTCGGCCATTGCATTACATTCATTCATTAACACACAACCACACAATAGGATGGGTGGGACAAAACCACTGTACTTAAGTCTAATATAGCTAGGTGGACATTGAGAGAGAGAGATTAATTACTGAATCTTTCTTCATCGAATCCACACCCACACCCAACACATGTGGAATAGGAATGACGCAACACCTATACCAGAGATATGGAAAACTTTACTACCAATCAAAAAACAAAGAGAGATCAGGTGACAGGACTATAAAATCAGATATCGAAACTTGTGTGTGATTACATTGATGTGATGATTATGAGCAGTAATAACTTATGCTCGAAACGTAATCAATTAAATAATACTGTATCACTGTGCGCTTTATATCAAATAAACAAATCTAATATGGAACTACATTCTACCACAGTGCCCAAGTTTTTCACTTATATTACATTTACCTTGTTTGTTAGTCGTTGCTTTTTACACTCGTTAAGGTTTCATATCGATTACATTAAATAGTTTACGTTGTTGACTACTGACTGATAGAATCAAAAGTCGAAGTATTTCAAGATTCATTCTACAGTTATAATTATATACTTTTTTTCTTCTACTTTTCTCTTTCTTCAGTCATTGAAATCTTTAATTGATGCATACCACTTCAGTTTATCTCATCTGTTAGATAGATAGATCAGTTAACTACTCCGGTGAATAAAGATTTGACCAATACATTGCATGATATTCTTTTCTTGTCAAAACATATTCTTCATTTAATTAATATGTATTGATTTTGAAGAAACAGAAAATTCTAGTAATCATCTTTCATCATGGAATTTATTCACTCAAAATTGGATAATTATTCATTTCAAAACAATTACATTGAAATTTATCAACTACTCATGATTCGATTCAAATGTCTATACATAAAATTGAACAAGAGGAGTTTACATTATACAAAGAAAACAATGTTTATCTCTGCGTCTTCATTGAAGAGATTGTCAGCGTCACCATCACCATCACCGTCATCATTATTCAATTCTATTCAACAAACATTACCTTCTGCCTATTTGCCACCCAATTTCCACCTAATTATTCCTTCTACTAATTCTTACGAATTGTTTAAATAATCTATCAAGTTTATTTTCCAATAGTAACAGTCAGTAATAATACTCATGTGCATAATATTGAATATATATATATAAAGGTGACTGAATTCTCGAGTATTATTGCCAAGTGGATAGATCGAATTGAACCAGCTGATAGATTGATGAATGAGTTAATAACTGAATACTTTAAAGAATTAAGTAAGTGAACTACAATTGCCTAAATTATTATACAATTTGATTCAATCTTATTCACTGTGTCAATTCACTGTTGTCGAGAGGTTATTTGTTTGTTTGTTTGTTTGTTGAATCAATTTCACAAATTGTTTTTGAACACACAAAGGTGGTTTAAGCTTCCTTCCCTAATAGCTAAGGCCTTAACCAATTTGTGGATTCGTCCTTCAACATATTTTGTAAATAAGTCTATAGGAAGTAACCACGTGAATCCTGTGACCTACCTTAACGATATGTTTCGTGATGGAAAAATTTAGACGTCTGCTACAAACATTTATAGCTTCAGGTGATTCAGTTCGCTTCTGAAGCCATTTTAGAATATGCTCGTAGACCCTCACTTGCATGGATATATGAATCCTCCCTATGTATGTGTCACCACACGTACATTTGAATTGGTAAATACAATGGGATGTGACATCGTCGTTCACAGGTTGAAGAAGTTTAATTTTATGCTTACTTTATGCTTTGAAGTTTCTTTAGCAAGTGGATTGATTTTCGGGGTTAGGGTTGCTGGCCGTATGCCCAACCTTCCCTGTTCATCCGTGCTCACGACCAGCTAGTAATTAGTGAACTAGTTACCTAGGCGAGGTTACACTTTTCAGTAGTAGTAGTATAGTATATTTCAATGTTGGTTGACAGTATACTGATTGACTCTGTTCTATCTTCATGTATGTATATCAATCAGTCTTGTTCATTTGGTAAGTAGAAAATGATGATAATGAGCGATTGTCGCATAAATAAATACATGCATATTTCTGTATATTTTGTGACTTCTAGATGAACCACGTATGACACGAGCAAATGCAGTTGACTACTTATCACTGAAGAACACACGCAATAATGAAGTGAAGTATTATCTAGAGTTTGTACGTGAAAAAAGCTTAGCATCCGGCACAAGAGACGAGGAATCGCTTTCAGCTAGATTGGATAACTTGTGTTTAAAAATTCGACAGATTGAGAATTCCATGAATGAAGCATTAAACGAAACGACAAAGTGTCTGTCATTCAAAATCAATCAGCTCATGATTATAACTGTAATTGTTGTCTCGTTTCACCTGCTTGTCATCATTTATTGGTCAGTGTCATCTGAGATTTACTACTTACTGTGTAATCTTCTCCAGCCTATCCTTGTATATTGTTCTTCTACGTGTAAATAAATTATAAATGAATGAATAATTAGTATAAGCAATTGATTTTGTGAATTGTATTTCAATGAATCTGGAGCAATGCCTGCCTATTGTCTTGGATTGACAATTATAAAATGAGAAACCTACTACTAGTAGTAGTACAAAGCAACGACCATATACAGGTGCTTATACAATCAGGAAGTCGGTTAGTTAATCAGTTTGAACACGAGTGCTAGCATTACTATAGGTCGGTGCCTATCGCTTCATCTCACGTCACTACACCCAGGTAGAAGACAGAGAGAGAGGTGAATTGAGAAAAATGTCATAAAAATTCGTAGAACATTAATTGGGAGACAGATATGAGACGGGGATGAAGCAAATAATAATCAAGTGATACGACGGATGAAGACAGTGAGGATGAAGACAGTTTGTGGATGAATCTAGTCGGCATGAATCAGTCACCATATCACTCAGAGTCTCCAACCACTGATGTCTCTTGTCTCTTGTCACATGTACCCCAACCGGGACTAGATATGCATAGTGCATGCATGTCTCAGCCGTGAAGGTCAGTCAGTCAGTCAGTCAGTCAGTGAAGGTTCGCCACATCAACAACTGACTTGACGTTTTCGCTTGACAAAACGCCTAACTTCTAGGTTACTGACGTGGTGACGTGGTGACGCGAGGTTGGTCGAAGCCAACTTGAAGCCTACTCATATCTGCCAACTTATTGACCACTTCGCACAGTCATATAGGTCGGTAAGTAAGTAAACAAAGTGAGTTTGAGCACAGTACATGAAGCTGTTAACAGACAATTTTAATTTGTGCATATATATATGTATCGTCTGTCGCTGGCTCACTATTGCTGATTTGACTTGTGAAGTAAGTCAAGTAAGTGGTGTACAGGCTCGAGTATGTCAATATCTATTGTTACATGAGTGCTGAAGAAATGATCTGATTGTTGTGAATCTATTAGCAAGGGATGTGTTAATGGTTGAGTGGAGTAATGCAGGTGCTGGGTAATGAATGCCAATCAGAAGAAATATGGCCATACTGCTGTAGATGACTGATGATTCCAGTTAACTGATAAGTAGAGGTGTTCTTGCAGCAACGCCAACGCCAACGCCACCGGATGGATATCAGTAAGACGAATGTCGTATCTCAGATCCAAGGGATCATAGTTACACGAAGTCGCAATGAAGCTGGGGGAGAAAAAAGCCGAAAAAACGAAACACACTTCAAATCGGAAGTAAGCTTGATCAATCAGTTGCTCACTGTTCACCGGAATCCAACACCTTCCACCATATTTGTCTGTGAGAAGGCGGCGGTACTTGACTCCGTCAACCTGGAGGTTTTGTGGAAATGTTTGGATGAATTCTAATATTTGTGGATAACTTGATAATAACCTTGATAATGTGAGCAAGTGTTGACAGTGGAGATTAAGTATCGAAAACAAACCATTAAATATTTAAAACTGTGATATATATTTAGTTGATTACTGTGACAGGCATTATGGCATAAGCAAAGTATGTCGGTTCTATCAACAAATAACCGACTTCGTGTGCAATGAAGTAGTTGACAGAACTTCGCTTCAACGTTTGTGCGTACAGTAGAACTAGGTGTAATGGAAAATGGAAGAAGAAATTGTCATGCAGAGCGATATAGAGTTAGTGGGACGGGGATAGAGATGTCGAAAGTGATATGAAGTTGTCTAAATAATTTGCTAACTTATTTGTCTGGTTCACTTTGAAATTCTCGTTGGTGTCAACAGATTCATGTTTACTTTGCAACCACTGAACTGAGGTCGATGACTCCAATATGTGAAGCGATGAAAGCTACGATGAGATGTGGTCAATTTGTGAAGGCATTCACCAATAGTAATCTTTAACTCGAAAGATGACAAATTAGTGACTAGTGGGTAGTGGGTAACTGGTGTAGCCATCTTTTTCTTAGTGTTCAACACTGACCAATGTGTAGGGATCACATTCCACAGTGGTCACTAATGCGTTCACTGAATTCAGTGATAGAGGAGAAAGCCATCAAGTGAATGGCTCATCGGTAAGGTTTCTGACTTCGATACGAAGTGACGTATGCTGGAACCGTCTATAGATTATGACTTTCTTTCGTTTTTGTAGCAGTGGTTGAATGTTGGTCAACTGCTGCTCGGTAAGAGACGTGATATGCGTTGGCAGGATTTCTAACGGTATTGGTTGGGTGCGCAGTACTCAGGAGTCACAAACCATGAGAGAACGGATATCTAATACAATACTCCAGTGTTCTCCAACTCGTATCAGTTCATGTAGAAGGCTACAGTAAGATTTATTTTTATAGTTGACAACTTTCAATAGCAGCAAACACGATTAATCCCAATCCGAAGATAGCACACCGATCTGCGTGGAAATAAACAAATACAGTGCATATTTAATTCACGTAACACACAGTTTGAAGTATTTATATCAAGTTGAAATGAGTGATATAGAAAGCACAGACTACTTGGATGTTTGCTGCTACTGTTACAGCTTCTGCTTGTGCTTCTTGTGCATGAAATTTCGTTAGTCAGCTTGTTTGCTTGTTTGTTCAAATTAAAATATTGGCGAATAGTTAGTTGTCAGTCGACAGATGGTTGTTAAATGAGGGGCGAAGCTTGTGCGTTTAGATATCTGACACGTGAAAAACTAGGATGATGAGGAACTACTTGATGATATATCTGTTCAATTTACTTACATTTCCTATGCAATTTTAACCAAATGTGATTACAGTACTTTATGTCTGCGACTGTTTCACTTAGTTTTGAGCACCTATGAACTGTTGACATGACGAAAGCTCGAAATAGATGAGGTTGAGAAAACTCAATCGAAGGGATCTTGAAGGAAGTGAGTAGTGAGAAGCTTTCTCAACTACTTCCTATATCAGACATCTGTCAGTCATGTGAAAAATATGCAGGTAATGTAATTGCCAAATACAAAAATGAGTAAATCTACGATGAAATTTCGAGTTATAAGAGAAGATGACAGCGGTACTCTCGACTATCTTTTGGAATGTACTTTCTTTGCATAATACAGTAAGACTATGCAAGTGCTCATATAATTCCATTGATTGTCTACTCATCTCATCTTCGACCTACGAGTGAGTGAGTATGTGTTCGGATATTGACATTGACATTTCGGCTTCTATTATTATATTATTATTATTAGTTCCTTGGATTCCTAGTGGAGCATAGGGCTTCAGTAGCACGTCTTCATTTCATCCTGTTCTCTGAGATCTTTTGAACCTGGTTCCACGACAGCCCACAGGCTCTCATTTCCTCCTCGCACGACCTTCTCCATGTCACCCTCGACACCGACGCCCAACTCGTCGCTTCCCATGAGGGTTCCACACGACGGCCTGACGCGTGATGTCCTCAGTCGGCCTTCTCAGTTCATGGCCAATCCATCTCCACTTCTTCCTGCATATTTGTTGCGTGATAGGTTCTTGGTCGGTTCGTTCCCAGAGTTCCTTGTTGCTTATTCTTTCTGGCCATCTGATCTTCAGTAACGAGCGTAAGCAGTTGTTGATGAATGCCTGTAGTTTATTGGAAATGCCTTTCGTGACGCGCCAAGTCTCTGAACCATACAGAAGCACTGACTTGACTGAAGTTGGTGTTCAAAATCCGTATCTTGTTCCACATGCTAAGTGCAGAAGATCTCCACACTGGTTTCAGGCTAATGAACACCTGTCTTGCTTTTCCGATTCTGACTTTGACGTCTTCGTCCGTCCCGCCTGTAGTTGAAATAGTGCTTCCTCGATAAGTGAAGGAGGTTACTTCCTTCAAGTTTCTCCCGTTGACGGTGATTGGAGTTTGTTGTTGTTGTTGGTGGTGGTGGTGCGGTATCTTCATCACCTCTGTCTTCTCTATATTCACCTGAAGTCCCGTCTTCGCTGCCTCTTCTATCAACTTGTTAGTTTTTGCCTGCAGATCTTCAAGTTTATGTGACATTAGGCACAAGTCATCGGCGAAATCCAAGTCTTCTAGGTTCTTTTCCGCCGTCCAGCGTATCCCCCTCTTCTCACAGCTCCCCACTGTTTGCTGCATGATCCAGTCCACCACAATAAGGAATATCATGGGGGATAGTAGGCAACCTTGTTTCACTCCTGTCTTCACTTCAAAAGCATCACTCAGCTTCCCATTGTGAATTACTTGGCATGTGGCATCTTCATATAGTTGTTGAATGAGGCGGATAAAGGTTTGCGGTACTCCGTAGTATTGAAGCAGTTTCCAAATTACTTCTCGAGTGACGCTGTCAAAGGCCTTCTCAAAGTCGATGAAGTTGAGGTAGAGAGCTGATTGCCATTCTGTGCTCTGTTCTATGATGATGCGAAGCGTTGCAATTTGGTCTGCACATGATTTGTACTTCCTGAAGCCTGCCTGTTCCGGTCGCAGTTTTGAATCCAGCGCATCTTTAAGCCTCTCCAGGATGATGCGGCTTAATATTTTGCTTGCACTGGGTGGACAGGAGAGTGATTCCGCGCCAGTTCTTGCAAGCACTGAGGTTTCCCTTCTTCGGCAGTTTGACAAGGTAACCCTTCTTCCAATCAATGGGCAGGTACCTTCTCTTCCCTCCACACCTTCTGCAATAGTGGTGTGAGCATGTCCGCTGTTGTCTCTGCATCTGTTCTCAGTGCTTCTGGCGGTATTCCATCTGGTCCTGCTGCTTTCCCGCATTTCAGTAGCTTTATGGCGTTCAGGACTTCCATTTTCGTTGGGGGATTAATGTTCACTTGTAATTCAGCGGTTGCAGGTGGTATTTCTGGACGAAGTGTAGGTGGTGGTCGATTCAAGAGCTTTTTGAAGTGGTCGGCCCATCGTTACCTCTGTTTCTCTTCTTTCGTAATTAAATTTCCTTCTTCATCTTTTATTGGTTTCATCTGTGTTGGTCTCTTCCCAGATAGCAACCTGGTTATTTGATACAATGTCGTCAGGTCTCTCTTACCTGCAGCCTGTTCTGCTTCACTTGCCAGTGTTTCGTAGAAGTGTCTTTTGTCTTTGCGTGCACTCTTCTCTACTTCTTTGTTCAGTGTTTTATACATTGTGCTCAGTTCCTCTTGTCGTTGAGCATCCTTGCAC